ATCTCTTGGTATACTGGTTTATGACTTGTTCAGTCACAATCCACTGCTTGAAGAGTAGTGCCGTACTCACTGTGACTAAAGGGGAAGGCTTTGGTAACTTCCATTGTGTGTTTTGCAGAGCTCAAGTGTGTGGATTGTCTGGAAGTTGTTGCACATGTACAGAGTGCCAATGTTTATCAGATGCTTTCCTGTCTTACACAGGAGAAGTAAACTCCTGCCTGTTTCCATCTCTTCCTCCCTCTCAACACACAGTGTTTGAACTGAGAGTGGCCATTTATTTGAACTGGAAGGAACTGACCGCTATACAGTTTCCTCTTTGGCATCTACATTTTTGTCACCCTTTCTACTTTCCCCCACTTCTTTTGTTGTGCAGCTTGTATTGCCTGGTGTATTGGCCAGAAAAACTACCCAGCTGGAGCAGGCTAAAGATAGCAGGCTTTGATTTGATGCTCTGTCTGGTCAAGAACTCTGACAAGCAAGTATACATTGACTTCTGGTGCTCTGAACCTTTCCCAAGCACATTCTGATGGTTTAATGGACCTGTGTCGTCTTACCAAAATGCAGGCTTAAATGCAGGTGGGCCTCTCACCCTTCCTGGGGTGAATGCAATGGCTATCCAAAAAGTAGCTATAAAATTGCACAAATTAATTAAATGCAGTTGAATTCTTAAACTACATTATCAGTTGATGAAAGCAAACCCACAGGCCTAGCAAATTGGCCATCTTTGCACGCTTTGGAAGAGGATGCCTTCACTTGCTGATCTAGAGGTATCCTTGGGACATGCTCCCAAATATACGTCAACCAAGAGGTAGCTCCCTTCTCTTCATGTGTCAGTAATACAATGCCTGCATCTATAATTTTCACTCCATGCATCTGAAGAAGTGGGTTTTTTACTTCTTATGCCCAAGCTTATGCCCAAATAAATCTATTAGTCTTTAAGGTGCCACCGGACTCCTTGTTGTTTCAACCACCAGCTGATTCATGCAAGTCTGTCTTACGACCTGGTCTTTGCAAGTTTTCTCATCTCAATCAGATCTATAGCTGCCAGGTATGAATAGTTACTTATTACAAGCCAGAACTTGGGTGTTTCTGAAATGGTGACTCATGCCAGCCACCTGACTTCCTGAGATCCTTTAGGCCGGAAGCGAGCAGATTGCAGGCTCAATCAGAAGCCACACCCAATGTTGCTACCTCTGATTGGCATAAAAAGCAAAGCTTTGATCTTGCAGAAATAACAAGATGCACAGAGCAACTGGACATATCCTGTGAGGACATACTATGGCATTGCTATCTAGTACAGAGGTGGGCAAACTTACTGACCCTCTGAGCTGCATACAACAATCTTCAGAAGTTCAGGATCTGGGGCACACCAGCCAGGGTTCGGGGCTTCTGCCCCACGGAAGGCACCTGCGGGGGCTCCACTCCTGCTTGAAGCCCCAAGGGGCCCCCCCACGCTGGCAGAAGCCCCTATCCTACCACCCTGCTGCAAGGCAGAGGTCCCAAGCTTCCCTCCCCCCAAATCGGGTAGGTGGGGAATGGGGGGGCTCCTTAAGCTGCACTTTAACTGTGAAAGAGCCCCATGTGGTTTGGCCACCCCTGATTGAATACATTCACACCTGCATACATGGAAAGAGCTGTAGAGAGGAGAGCTTGCCACTTAAAAGCTCTCTGCATTGCTTACATAAAGGCACTACAAGTAGTGAACAAATAAGACTAGTTAAATGAGCAGGTATGGCTGATTTCTCAGTATGCTGGAGTTCTCAGGATTCTCCTGAATCATAATCCATCTACCAAGTAGGAAAAATTAATGGAAAAGAGGGCTCTGGACTCTTAAGGTAATCTTCGTATGCACTGAGAGAGAGAGAAGGTTGTAGTACCTCAAAAGTATGAATGTAGGCTCCTCTTTGCCATACCTAGCCCTTAATGTAGACTATGATAAATAACTGAAACCTCTTCTACTCCATTCGTAGTAAGGCACATCTTTGGGAAAACAAAACCAAACAACTCTGACACCCCTTCCTCCAAAGATTTTTTTTCTCTGGATACAATATTCCTTTCATGCCAGAAGGTCAGGCACATGACTGACTTTTCAGTTTAGTGGAAATTATTCACTCAGCTCTAACCCGCTCTCAGGTCTGAGCATTTGGGTTAGCCTAGACTGGGTGTGAGCATCCCCCACTGCAAAGTCCTACCTGAATTACCATGTCTTCATTGTTTCTGCACTTGCCTGTGTGTCTGGGGCATTTCCCATGGTTCTTTGTGCTGGGTTGCTCTAGGATGCATTCCCAGTCATTTGTGTCAGTTGTATGAGAGTTTGTCCTTTTTGGGGGGAATTGTGGGAAGGGAATTGGAGGACTTTTTGCAATTGAGTGTTTGTGCGATTTTTGCTTGTCTTCACTGCAAAGTGGGCCAGATTCCAGTTAAATTAAAGTGTAACCTGGGCTCTCACCCATGCCCCCAACTGGGTAAGGTAGCATGGGGTTAAAGCACCTATGCCCATACCTCCAGCTGGGTAATGTAGTACGGCTTAAAGCCCCTCTAACCATGCAGTTAGAGGTTTTTTCTATATGGATGGTAGGGGGTTAACTGTTCAGTGGAGACATAGCCATACACTGAGGAGAGGTTGGACTGCACATCAGGGTAGTGCCAATAACTGAGCACTCCCATATGCCTCAAACGCAGATCAGCAATTGAGGGAGGTAAAAACTGAAATAGCGTGGTTTAGTATATCCCTCTTTTTCCCAACATGACCCCAGCATGTTCTTTCCCCCTTATCCCTATCCAGAAAAGTTTTCTTAACTGATTACTGCCCATCTCCTTTTACAGGCTAATTTGAATGATATGCTGGGTTAGTATAGGGTTCCTGCATTCAAATCCTGGCTGACTTTTGGTTAAGAACTCCCTTTCTGTGAAAGTACTATTTCTTACTTCCTTTATATCCTTTTATTTCACTTAATGGATCCTCTAACCATCTGCAGAGGAGCCGTGAAAGACCTGGATCTTGAATTTGGAAGGGCTAGACCTGGATTTAATTTGGCTCCTTTACACTATGTAGTCTGGGTTGGGTTGGGTAACCTCCTTGCTCTTGTAATCTTTCAGCCAATAATGTGAATGCATTTATGATCCCAATAATTTGTTTTACCTTTTCTGGAGTATGTTGTCTCCTTTTTGTCACTTAACATTTCTGTGCACTCTCGTATCTTCCTGTACTTCTGAAATGCTAATTTAAATTAGAGACATCCCCCATGCCATCAGCTGCTGTAACCTATAACAAATGTGGCCTTGTTGTCCAGGAGTCCCGAAGTGACTGCTTTTCTGTAGGGACTTTGGCAAGCTTTCCCTTCTCCACAGAGGCGTGCGTGCCCTTTGTAAATGCCAAAGGACACTTTTTTTGTTTACTTGCAATTGCTGAAAAATTTAACTCTCAATAACATCCTGATCAAGCAGAACGAGTGGTCGCCTGCCAGATCTGCATCCTCTGCTGCTGTTCTTGTTGCTTTACATTCATATAAAAGAAAAAAAGCTGTTAACATTGAAGAAGTGTAATGCTTATTATCTGCCAGACTTAGCTATGTGTTACCATGCCATCTTGTCTTCTGATGTAGATTCTATACTGTCTGTCCTTTGGGGGCCCTTCTGAGCTTTAATCAAAGAGGGTTTAACTTGGACATTCTGGAGCTGCAGTTTAATCAACTCTTTCTTGTAGCTGTGGAATCACAAATGTGAATGTCTCAAGAGTGACATAACTTGTGGGTGCTGGCGGAAAGTGTTTTCATTAGGAAGTCCATGACTCTGGAATCTGTTCCCTGTGGAAACAAGATAAAGTTCAAACCTGGCCACTTTCAGAATCTGCTATGAGATGCATCTTTGTCCAGGCATTCCCAACTGATTCAATCCTGGTTTCCTAGCTGAGAGGTAGAGCTGCAGCTCACATGGGAGCCTGGTGTTCTGCCTTACTGCGCTTTTGAATGTGTAAAGCGCACAGATACCATACTGATGGAGACCAGCATTAAAAATTAGCTGTGGAACAACGTGTCAAACCTGTACTGCTCGGTCATCAGTCTCACTGAATGATTTGCTCTTTCTAGTAATAATCTGACCCCATAAATAGAAATCAAAGCATCTGTTAAGAAAATATTAACTTTAAGATGAAGATGGAAGCTGTGAGTGGTAACTCCTGGCAACTGTTGGAGATGTGTGCCTGTTTTCAGCCTGCATCATTTCGATGTAAACATGCTGTCCTGAAATAAGCAGAGTCCAAATTGGGTCTCTTCCAAAACTAACAGACCATAATCTGGGCTAGTTTAGGTTTTTCCTCCTTTTGGTTCTTCACTTTCACAGTATGACACTCTTTGTGAGATTATATGCTGAAGGGCAGGGGGAAGACTCTGGCTACAGACAGCACGTTATCTGAATCTTTCAGAGCAAGACTGCAAGTAATTGTTGTGCACAGTTTGGTGCGGAAGTGAAGCACAGTGCATAGGGTGGCATACAGTGCTGGGATAGAATGATGCCTTTTGAACAGCTTTTGTTCTTGTACTTGCAGAGCCATTTCTGTCTGATTTTCCCCCCCCCCCCCCGCTCCCTAAAAAAGCAAACTGCTAGCCACTTTGGAATAGAAGGGGCAGTAGATAAAGTTGGAAAATCACCTGCCTTTCACAATGCAACTAAATGAATTCTTGTGTTCATGAAAGTGAAGGATTAAGCACTGGCCAGAGCCAGACATCGTGTAAGGTGAATGCATGTGCTGCATGAGCTTCCTACGCACGTCTCTGACAATGTTCTTCAGCCTTCAGTCTGCAAAACTCCTAGTCTCAAGCCCCTTGCACAAAATTGCCAAATTTCCTTGGGTGCTGACTTGCAGCTTTCTCCCCATTTTGCCAATCCTGACAGAATGACAGAATAGTGCCAGTGAGGGTGTAAAATGAGTTTTCATGACTTGTGTCGGCTTAAATTGCTAGCAGTGGTGCCGGATCTCATGTCCTGATCTTTCATTGCAGCCTCCTTCTCAGAGCGAGTAAGAAATATGTCTCCAGATGAGATCAAAATCCCTCCAGAACCCCCAGGCAGGTGTTCAAACCACTTACAGGTAGGTACAAACCCTCTTCCAGTTTGTCATCTCTCAGGATTTGTCTGAAATTTCAGTTAACCAAACATCCTAAGAGCTGGTAAAATGCAGCAAAAGAGATTCCCACAGAATCAAAACCATCTGAGAGAGATTTTTTCCTCAATCTCATACAGGTCAAATGCAGTGTTAAGGTTCCCCAGCATGCTTACCGCACTTCAGTGTGAGCACTACAGCAAGGTCTTTCACCCAACACTGGGCAAAATGACATATTCATTGAATAGAAAGGAACTGCATTTATCACCTTAGCTGCTTTTAAGCCTTTTCAAAGAAACCGAATTAACTCCCCATTTCTAACTAGATGGAGAAATGTACTATGCAAACAAAAAATCTGTGTAAGTAACTCTTGCCCTGCTTCCAGAGCTATCCAGGAATAATAAATTGATAGTGTGGGAATGCATACCACAGCCCAGATCTTGTCTTGGCCAGTACTGCGCTGAAATTCAGAAGTGGTGGGTTCTGTTCTAAATCAAGAAACTACCATTTTTGCTTGGGTTCCACACTTGGTAAGAGCTCTCCCATCTAACTGTAGCATATTTCCACGGGGTTTTTTAACTCTAAGGGTATGTACACACTGCAGTTAAACACCCACTGATGGCCTGTGTCAGCTGACTTGGGCTCAGGCGACAGGGCTGTTTAATTGCAGTATAGACATTTTGGGCTTGGGCTGGAACCCAGGCTCTGGGACCCTCCTGCGTTTTGCTGTGACGCTGTGGGTACCTTTCCCAGATCTGAAGAAGAGCTCTGTTGGTGAGAGAGTCCGAGCCACACAGAAGTTGGTCCAATAAAAAGATATTTCCTCGCCCAGCTTGTCTTCCTTTCTGAGGCAGATATGGAGCTGGATTTAGTGGGGAGACAGGAGAATGCATACAATTGTATAATTGTTGTTAATGCTACCCTGTGATGAAGAGTGGCTTGTTTGCATCTGATGCTAATGCAATCTTTTATCGTATTAGTAGGCGAGGTGCTGTCATCAACTTAACTCCATGCCAAAGGAACAGAATTATCTACTGATAGTGGGTTTAGTGCATATGTAGGCATAGCAGAATTTGATTTTTTTTAAACATAATTTTGACTGATAACTTTGATATTTTTAAGCATTTATTTTTAAAGATTCACAGTTGTGGGAAATTGGGGGTGGGGTCAGACAGTAATTATTTAATTACAATAGACTTTGAGATACAAAAAGTTAAAGCTTTATAACCATTAGAACACAAATTATCAACATCACATGTCAGAATATACAAAGTAAATAGCCTTAAATCAAACTCTAAAGTTCTCAAGCAGCATTTTTCTTTCTTTGCCTATTTGTAAATGTTGATTATCCTTGGAAATATATTTTTCATCCATTTGTGTATGTATGGTGAAATCTGTTTATCACCATTTACTGATAAATCTCATTCTTCCAAGCCTCTACTCATATGTGTATCTGGGAGAGCTGTCCATAGAAATGTGTAGCAGCCCCTTTGTGTATCAAAACTGTTATTCCCTGGAACAAGTGGAAGAAGACCTCAAATATTACTTAATAGTGGTCCCCATTCTTGCATGCCATAGATTGGGGAAGGTAAATGAAGGCGGTGTGGGGCTGCTGTTTCCTGCCAACTGCTAGTAGGTTTAATAGTGGTGGACAATTTAAGATGGCACAGTGGTGAAGAACTGTTGTGGGGAAACCTCAAAAAGGTGAGTTACAACCCTGTAATGGTTAGTAAGTCGTTTTGAATCACAGTACAGAATGCATCCTCTTTGTGTGCTGTACCTGACGCACCCATTATTAGTTCTGTTCTGTACTGCAAGAGATTTTAATGGTGTGACATCAGTGAATGAGTAAGAGTGCATAGGTCTGAGGAATGCAGTAAACTGGTGCGAAGATCTGATAAATTAAGACAGATCCATTTCCTTTCTCAGTTGTCTCCACCCTGTGTGGAATATGTCTACCCCAAACCACCTTAAAGAATGGAGACTCGCTCCAGTTTTGCAAGCAGAGCAAACTGCCTTTTTCAAATTGCACAACTAAAACATTTTTCAGTTCTGTAGGGGGGGCCTGACATACTTTGGAGATTTGGAAATAAACTGTCCTTTATTCCATTGGTATCTCTACCTTCCCTTGGTCAGTTTATCTCTGTAATATGCTGTATCTTGAAAAGCTCTATGCAAAGTGGAAATTCTTTCCTACTTTCAAGGTGACCCACTAGTTCTTTGCTTTGTGGAAGTTCCATATTCTAAATATGAGGACTCCATCTTGGTGGTGCTATCAACACTTCAGATTTAGAGGCTGAATTTTCAGTGATTGTTGCAACTGTTCTCTCAAAACTTGTGGTACCTCCTTTGGACATGTTAATAGGGTAATTGTGTGACTTCACTGTCTGTGTAGAACTTAACCTAAAAGCTTAACGTTAATTGAGGAAATAGCAATTTTATACCTGATGATACTTGACCTTTCATCCAAGGATCTTGCTACTTTGTGTAAACTGTAGTGAAATTTGCTACACATAGAATCGCAGAAATGCAGGGCTGGAAGGGACCTCCTTGAGTTGGGGACATATTATCCCCATTTTACACAAAGGGAAACTGAGACCTGAGAGTTTAAGAGACTTGCCCAAGGTCACACAGGAGGTCAGTGGCAGAGCAGGGAATATGAATCTGTATCTCCTGCCTCCAAATTTTGGGTTTCAGCCGCAAGATCTTAATTTTCTATTGTAAAGTCTCTGGAATTTCACTTCCTGTAAAATAGTTTAGCTTTATAAGTAAGTTCTCCCCTCCCCCCCATAGTGCTAGTGTCACAAACCACCTTGCTTAGCAGCAGGATGACTTCCTTTTGTGCAAGATTCAAATACCGATTGTAGTTTAAAACCTACCAAGTAACTACATTTCCCGGGTTATTCAGGGTTGAAAGTGCATCTTCCCTCTTCTGCTTTCTGTGCTCCATGTCAGACACTCTGCCCGAAATCACTGGAATAGGGAGCGCGTTTCAAACATTTTATGCTGCCCTGCTGAGCAAAACAGATGCAGTTTTCTTTAAATCAAGGCCTTCCTTTTGAAAGGTAATTATATCCAGTATTTCCAACCTTCTGAATCTGTGTAAGTTGCCTTTCCCAAGCAGTTCAAGTTTCACTGGAAGACTCCCTACGTTGTGCAGCTGCAGGACCTCCAAGGAGAGGTCACTTTCACCTAACCAGACACTTATGCCCAAAGGCATTCACAAGTGGGTAGTTACCAAGAGCATGGCACTGACCGTGGACAGCATCAACAATGCCTGCAGATAACATTGTTTGCACAGAGCAGCCAAGTTAGATTTCCAGCAAAACTCTGCTCCCCTTCCCTTGTGCTACCCAGATCTGGCAGTGAGCCATGTCCTTTTCTTGGGATAGCCCAGTGACCGTTCTCTCCAGTTGCACATCTGAGATTTTGAGAATAGATGAGAGAATTAAACACTTGAATTGCACTGTTCTGTACGAATGCTGGTTGCCCAGTTTGAGCTGTTGGCATACCTCTTACTGCCCCTGGCTTTAATTCCCCCCCTTCCCCCCCAGTACTCTCATGTGATCTATACTTTAGGGGCTCTCAGAGAGGAGCATTGATGCTGGCTGCTTTTTCCCAAATCAGCCTTCTGGGATGTCGCCAATCGTCTCAGGAACTTAGTGGAGAAATTCTTGTGTGGACTCTGAATCTCAGTTGCACTGTTAATCTAAAGCCTCGTAAGTCCGACTTGGTGAGCAGTCCTGCTAATAAGAGGAAAGACTTTAAGGACATGTGACGTGAGAGGGATCTTTCACTTTTTGTGCCTTCCCCACCCAGGGCCGCATCTACACATTACGCGCCCCTAGGCACAGCATCTTCAGCACCCCCCCCACCTACAGCTGATCTTCGTGTTGCACACAGTTTGAGAGAGGGAAGGCCTGTCTAGAATGCCAGCACCCCTAGGCATGTGCCTAATTGGAAACCTGGCCCTGCCCCCAACCCAGTCTCTTCCAGGCTGGGATAGTGGCTTTAATGCTTCACTGTTAGCATAGGAGGTGGGAAGTTCCTTGAATCATCTCCAGGATTGGACATAATCATAAGGAACCATTCAAGTCCTATTAAGGGGCTGAACTGTTGTTGAGGGACAGAACTTAATCTATTAATTGCATTGCTAATGCCCTGCCCATGTCAAGCCACTGGCTGCTTTAAAAGCTCTTCATCAAGCTTTGTACTTATCAAGATCATCCACCCAGATACATGTCATCGCTTTGCTTCCCTCTTCTTCTCCCCCCCTTCCCCCCCCCCCCCCCCCATACCTTTTAAAAGAGATACTCTTCCCTTGTTTCTCTCTCTTTCCAAGTGTGTTGCTGGCATGTTGGTCATAATGTAAACAATGTGAAACAAAACCTTTTCATGGAACTAATCCAGTGGTTTTCAACCTTTTTGCATTTCAAAAATTTCAAATGGAGATGCCGACCCCTTTGGAAATCTTAGATGTAGTGTGTGTGGACCACAGTTTGAAAACCAATGAACTAATCCATCTCTTCCCCTTGGGAGCTGAAACAAGCGGGGTTGTGGTTTTAATTTGCTTTGCTTTGTTTTGTTTTGTTTAACTCTTTCTACCATCACTGCAGCTGCAGGGAGACTTAAGTGAACCTACAAAGCAGGGAGGCACCATTGCTCCTTTAAGAGCTTGATAGCCCACACTGTATAGTGGATTATGCGGGAAGGGGAGAGTGATCTTTGATTGTGAGTCTGAGAAGAGTCAATGTCACTGCAGTTTAGCCCAGATGCTGTGCCTGCTTCAGCCTTCCTGCCTCTGAAAAATTACTGTTCTAAGGTGGGAGAGGGCCATTTTGGGTTTAACTATGCAGAAATAAGACAACCATGTTCGTGCATATTGAATATCTCCTACCTGTGTGTTACTACTTGGTGTTGGCTCTTACACTGTTTCCTTTTTATCTAGGATAAGATTCAAAAGTTGTACGATAGGAAGATGAAAGAGGGCATGGACATGAACTACATCATTCAGAGGAAGAAGGAATTTCGTAATCCCAGGTGAGTTTTCCCTTTGGGGTTACAACTCCACATGAAAGCTAATCCCAAGACTCGTTGTCCCTGCCATTAGAGTCCTATCAGAAATTGGGGATGTCGAGCAATAGACGCTGTTACTGCTCATGAAATCAGCAAGAGGATCTAGAAAAACATCTCAAAAATGAGTGAGTATGAGACTCTTTGGAGATCCATGTAACCACAACTAAAACACAAATTTTAAAACCAAGTGTGTGGGGCTTTAGGTATGATTCTGTGGATGGTATGTTTTGGGTTGGGAGTTAGAGATGAATCTCTGGTTGGAGGGAGCAATAACCAGGGTTTATGGCCTGTTTTGCATATTGTGGTGGTGTTCATGGGTCTTCAGAGTGTTACTCTTTGCACTCTGATTCTGCACCTGGGCCATTGAAAAGGAACACCAGCCTCTTTGTACCAACGACTCCAATGAGCTTAAACTTGAAGAAAGGCAGGGAAAAGCTAGAAATAAATAATTGTTCTTCTGTCTCAGCATCTATGAAAAGCTGATCCAGTTTTGTGCCATCGACGAACTTGGTACGAATTATCCCAAGGTAAGCAGAGTGAAAGATTTCCTGGGAGATGGGGTGGGTACATGAAGCTCTCATCAGTTCTGTCCTCTTTCTCAGCCAGGTCATTTAGGGCTTTGTACTTCAGGGCTGATGACGGAAATAGTCAACTAGAGATTTGTCTGCAGTTTGATTTCCAGTTGCATTGGAGTAAAATGTGCTCTGTGTAACAGTGAACTCCAGTAGCTGTAGCTTTGCAATATAGACTTTGAATTCTGTGGCTGGGGACAGCTAATTTGAGAGTTTGTAGTGGTGTAGGTAAAATTATACTTTGACTTGTCAGTCTTTCAGGAGGCCGAAATTTTGGGAAACAAGTGTCTATTTGCAATGAGAAATATTTAGTGCATCTGTCACTCACTGAAATGACATAACCGGTACAAATCCTGCAAATTGCTGAATTGTCAGATGGAAAATGGTACCAGGAACATATCTAGCTTCAGGCTAAGACTGTAAAAGGAGCCAAAGACAGTTAGGCACCTGGGAGTTGGGTGTCCATTCATGTTAGTCCCTTCAGCCTCAACATCTTGTAAAATATTTGACTATTCACACCTGAAAAATATTGGTCTTTAGAAAAGCACAACATGACGTACCTCTCTCCCGGGCTGGGAGCAGGGTTATGGCTTGGGCGGGGGGGATGTCATGTGTACAAGGTAAGGGGGCCAAGACTGGGGGTGGGTCTGGGCGGGGGGGCGTGGAGGAGCTGCAGCCAGGCTGTGGTGGGGGCCGGCAGCTGGGCCTGCAGCCTGGTGCAGCTCTGTTCCCAGCCCCAGCCTCAGCCCAAGGCCAGGAATGGAGCCGCAGCTAGGGGCCAAGGCTGGGGGCAGGAGCGGGGCCAGGAGCAAAGCCACTGCTGGGCCATTGTAGGGAACAGCAGCCGGGTCCTGGGCCGGGTACAGAGCTGGGATGGGGCTAGGGTGGGGCTGGGTGGTGCTCCCTCCCCACCCCCTGTGAGGACTGGCTTGCACCTGCTGCACCCCCCAAATGTTCCTCCGTGTCCCCCTGGGGGGCGTGCCCCGCAGTTTTGGGACGTCTGTATAAGAGATTCATTGATTCTTAGGCTAATAAAAGATATTACATAAGCTAACTTCTGTGGGTCCAATAAAAGATATTACCTCACCCATCTTGTCTCTCTGATATTCTAGGACCAATGTAGCTACAACTACACTGCATATGAACCTTTTATGTCTGATTGGGATACGAGAGAGGGGCATTTAGAGCTGTAGTGAATATTTCCTACTCTTCCTTGTGGTACTTTAATAGAAGTACATGTTTGATGCTGAGTGAAATGTTGAAGTGTTTTGTATAGCTTGCTGTTCAAACAAGTTCCTGAAATGTTAAACTTTTTCTCTTTCAGGACATGTTTGACCCTCATGGGTGGTCTGAGGACTCCTACTATGAGGCACTAGGTAATCTTAAGGATATGTTTAAGTTCTTTCTGATCCCTCCGACAGCTTTTATCCCTTTTATCAGTGCTATTGAATCATGCGGGAGCTTTAGCAACCGTTTTTAACTGAACACCCTTTTGAATGAATGGAACATGCCTGCTGCATTCTGGTTAGGCACTAGTCCAGTTTGGCTGGACGGACCTAGAACTTCCTGAGTTTCCATTAGTTTTGAGAGTCCCTCCCTTAAAATTGTTGGTCTGAGATACAAACAGGCTCTGGTTGCAGTGAAGAGGCTGAAGAAATTATAAGTGGAATGTTGCCTTGATAGAAAGTTTTATTTCATAGCTGATTCAATAGTTTTCTGAATGTGGGACCTTGCCCATTGATTGTTGGGGAGGGGAAGGGGACTGTTGTGGAGATGAATTACTCCTTTTGCTGAATCTCCTGCTTTTTATAACTTCTTGTATCAACCTTTTTTAGCCAAAGCACAGAAGATTGAAATGGACAAACTGGAAAAGGCCAAGAAGGAGCGCACAAAGGTAATAAATCCAGAATTATGGAATTTAGAGATCAATCTCCCAGCCTTTATTTGTTCTTTTCTCAAATTCATTCCGTTGCTTCATGTTCCTCCATGTACTACCCCTTGTATTGACCATTAGGTATTTTTAGACGGTTCTGGCATCTTCCCCTTATTCATTTCTTTGCCAAACTGTACAGATTTAGGTTTTTGGCCTTTCCTTGTAGGTCAGTTTCGCTCAAGGCCCCATTGCCTTTGCTCCTTGAGTCCTGTCCAATTTTGTCAATGTTCTTAAATCAGAGTATGCATAACTGCACCCAGTATTCCAAATACAAGATCACCAATACTCTGTAAATAACTACTAGGTCCTTAGTCTTTCACACTATGCCTCTAGTCACGCAGCCTAACGTAGCTTAATTTCCCCAGCAAATCATGCTGAACTCGGGCCTGGGTTTTGTTTTCTCTTATTACCACTTTGACTATATCTAGACCCATATCAACCCCGCGATACCTGAAAATGTCTTTGCGTGTTTAGGAAATTGAGTCAATGCATTTAAAACACTATATAGCTCTGGAGGACTTCACATCACCCCCACCAAATGGAGAGGCGCTTGGATTAGTGGCTGGCATTCGGAAATCATATCCAAATAGTTAATTAACGAGATCTCACTTCAGATTTGTAGAATGCTTTTTTGGCAACGAGTACATTTTTGCAGCAAACTTTTTTTATAGCCATCTCTGTTTGCCTCTTGTTTTGCTTTATGCACAGCAATACAGTCACCTGTGACTATCCCCCCTCATCTCCCATGGCTGTAGACTTATAGGTATGTAATTGCAGGCTGTTGTGGCCCTTGTTGCTAGGTTTCCTTCTGTGGTGCAGTCTCTGTAAACCATGCATGCGGGGACTTGCATTCTAGGACAGCTTTTATTTTTCTATCTTGGTTTCTCATTGAAGAAATTATTTGTAAGAATATGTCTGTACAGACCAGGATTCTAGTCCTGATCTGTCCATTAAGGATGGTACCAAACTTTTTGATCTGTCTACACATGGAGAATCTTCATATTACACATTTTCATAATGGATATAACTGGTACATTTTGGAGTACTTGGTTTTTCTCTCCCCAACATACCAATGATAAGTGGGATGGCCCAATAAATGTTTTTATACTTTGTTTGCTCAGGTGCTGTAGCATTGTTGGTCCCAGGATGTATGAGACCAAAGTAGGTGAGGTAATAACTTTTTATTACAGAAGTTGGTTCAATAAAAAAATATTACCTCACCTATATTGTCGTCTTTTAATACCTTGCTATGTTCTGGATCTAAAGAATAACTTTATAGTGAGGGAAGAAGACCTAGATATTAACATCTGTTCTTCCCCCCCCCCCACCTCTTCTTCCTTTCTAGATTGAGTTTGTGACTGGCACTAAGAAGGGCACAACAACAAATGCTTCATCCACCACAACCACAACAGTCAGCACTGCTGTTGGAGGTAAATACATTTGACGACCTCAAACTTAATTCCCACAACTGCAATGCAATTTGCCTCTCATGCTACCCAGAAACCCTAGAGGTCCCCTTTCTTCTCCATCCCCTTGACACACAAGACAAGTCTAAGATACCGCGCAACATCAGCACAGCTGCACCACTGTAACACATCTGGTGTAGACAAGCTATGTCAACAGGACAGCACTCTCACGTCAGCATAATTACTCCACCTCCACAGGCAGAACCTGTGTCGGCGGGAGAGCGTCTCCCACTGACATAGCACCGGTGTGGACAGTGCTTAGGTCAATGTAACTTGCGTTGCTCGGGGGCGGGCACTGAGCAACGCAAGTTACATCAGCCTAAGCAGTAATGTAGACCAGCCCAAAGAAGGCAGATTGCCAGGAGTTGGTAGCCTTGGTGTTAACTAATACTGGTATCTGGGATTGGGGGTTGCTGGCCGGTTTTCCTGGTAGGAAGGCTTGGCAGTAGCTTCGGGAAGGGAAGGATTTCTTTGTGCCAGGGTTAATGGAATTTGTTGCTGTATGTTGAGTGTCTCTTGAACAGGTCTTTCCCCAGAGCCTGAGGAGAGGGTTGGGAAAAGAGGAGATGAACAACTTGATGTTGTAATTTGGATAATGACTCTTGACAGTTAGTGCTATACCTCCATGCTAATGCAGTGGTTCTCAAACTTTTGTACTGGTGACCCCTTTCACATAGCAAGCCTCTGGGTGTGACAACTTCCCCCCCCCCTTATAAATTAAAAACGCTTTTTTATATATTTAACACCATTATAAATGCTGGAGGCAAAGCAGGGTTTGGGGTGGAGGCTGACAGCTCGTGACCCCCATATAATAACCTCACGACCCCCTGAGGGGTCCCATTCCCCTGTTTGAGAACCCCTGTGCTAATGGGGAGATCCATGTTTTCTGTCCAAACCAAACCTACTTTGGTGTTGGGGGAGAGAGTGAATCTCATGTCACTTTTTTCTAAGAGTTCAGGGGCATAAACGGTGCAGATCCTTCAGTTTTGCCTTTGGGAGTTCAAAGTTCCATTAGGTTTATGCTCAACGCTTCCTGACCAAGTTCCAGTTGCCTCAGATAGGGGTGAGGAGATGCTGTCCACTCAGGCAATGGCTCTTTGAGGGTTGAGAAGGAGGGGGATCGTTAAGATCAATGGCTGTTAATGTTAACACTCGTATCTCTTGGTTTTTCCAAATCAGATGCTCAAAAGAGAAAGAGTAAGTGGGACTCCGCCATCCCGGTAACAACAATAGCTCAGCCCACCATCCTCACCACCACTGCAACATTGCCAGCTGTTGTCACAGTAACCACCAGCGCAAGCGGCTCCAAAACCACAGTTATCTCTGCTGTTGGCACCATAGTGAAAAAAGCAAAGCAGTGACAAGTGCATTGAGACTTGACCTGGGCTTCCAGACTGAATTCTCATTGAAGGCACCACCCTTTGAAGGGGAGGAGGAGAGGGTCACTCTTATTTGCTCAGTACAAAATGGCAAGACTTGAAAACAGACCCAACATGCGCCGCCCCCTCCTCCCCCCCCCCCCATTAAGGGAAGTGGGGGAAGCAGGAACATCAGGTGTGTGCACACAGGACTGACCTTCATAGAAAGGAGTTTCTCCATCCCGTGTCACTGCTGAAACGACCAGTCGCTCTGTAGTGTGCTGAAGGACAATGGTGTGCAACGTGTCATCTTGTAAACGTTAGCTCATTTAAGTGCTGTATTGTTATTACTTTTATGGCTTGGAGAGTCTTATCCCTACTGGAAATCTGAATTTTAAAAATAAATGGGAAAATATCAGTCATTCTCTTGCACCTCCGGCCACGCTTTAAAGGTTGTTGCCCTATGATTTGGTCTCCCCCACTCTGCCTCAAGGGAATTAACGTGCACAAGGCTGATCAGCATCCTTGCTCGTAAGCATAGCTGAGATGTGAGTGTATAATCTACATGCAAAGAAATGAGTCTACAGATGTGAACAGCAATTGTATGAATGTAACTTATGTGCATATCCATGTAGCTTTTATTCTGGTAATCAGGTGTTACAAAGCATTGAAATTTTTGGATATAAAATAGTGAAATAGTCAAGTTTTGCTAGCCTCTTACAGAGATGGAGATCCCCTGTGCAGAACCTGGACTGTCAGTGTCACATTTGTGAAATCAGAGCGTGCATTTGGAGAGAGCTGCTGAGAGAAATTTTGTCATCATGGAGTAAAATCAGATACCAGATTCAGAGGAAAGTGTTCCTAATGTAGAAGCCTATGGTGTCTATGTATAATGTAGTGACTTATACTGTGAAACACACACAGCAGTGCTGTTTGCTCCACTGTAGTGAAAAAGATACTGTCAACTTAAATTTTATGGGGGGGGGGGGTTCTTACCTATGTTACTAAAAATTCTTCATTATAAAAATGGAAAATTTTAAAAATTCCTGTGTCCTTTTCATATCTTACTATGTGCATTTCTCTGACCAGCTAATGAAAAAAATCATTATTTTCACTTTTAGTGTTGATACCTGGGTTGCAAATGCTGCAGGGGAGTGTTTACTTTAAAACTTTTCCCCGTGACATTTTAAGAAATCATGGAAACATCTTTAGACTTTTGTCTGTTGACTGAGACCATTTTCTGGACATACTTTGTGTTTATATTCCTTTTTAAAGATTTCTCAGCTCTTTCATTATAAAACCCATATTCTAGGATTGATGCCTTAAAATTCTGATTTTTGTAAACTTGCATCAGTTTTTCTTAATTTTACCAGCAGTCAGCCCCTAATAATACACAGGTGTTTTGTATAATCCTTTTCCTCCATGGATCTCAAAGTACTTTACCAGGAGGTAAGTATTATATGGTGAAGTGTCTTGCCCAAAGTCATCTAGAAAGCCAGTGAAATACTATTTGATGTGGGTGGATGGAATAATTTACACTGCCATAATTGTTTGAAGAAATCACTACTAAATTGTTTATTGTACCAGTCCCTATAGGATAGCAATCAGGTGCACTAAAAACTAACTCTGCATTAATAAATATCAATTTCCTTCAGCTTCAATATTCCAGATGTTGCAGATTGTATTGAGATAAAAATTGCTACCTAGATTAGTCTTTTAAGCTGTAAAGCAGGGACGAGAGAGGGATGTAATAGATCAGCAAAAATGTAAGTTTCTCTGGATTTCATGTTGCTTTCTTGAGTTCTAGCTTGCCTAAAATAAATTTATAACCTCAAGTGGGGGAGGGAGAATGGGTCTGTCTTGCTTTTGATATACTTAGAAGAGGATTTCTTCCTAATCACTTTGACAGATGTTAGATTTTGTTTATCTGGAATATTCAGGGGTCCACTGGAGCACTGATAGGATTGTGGCACCACAGATATACCAAGAAAGTGAAACCTGAATGAGTTGATATGAGGATGGTTGGTGGCGTGGCTTTTCTCTTCATTCTTACTGAAGTAAGAACCCTGCACAGAGTAGCAGACTTGATTCCCACTAACTATGGCAGCTGCCTTGTTAACTCCACTCTGAGGTGGAATGGCTCTCTGGGCAGGGTTTAGCACCGAGAGGCAGGCCTGTCAAAATGTGAGTGTGATATGTGAATGTAGGTGGTTTTAAGTGTGCCGAACAGCATGGCTGAAAGTGAAACACTGAAACTGGAGGCAAAGCAAATGTAGTGGTACAGCTTCCTCTAACTCCCATTCTGCAGAATAATGGCAATTAAATGTTGCTTTGTATTTCATGAGTCTCCTTTGGCACAGAAGATGCTGCTGTAGCACCAGTGACTTTATTGCAGTTTTTTGTAATCCTATAAATGTGGAAGGGAAGAGTGTCCTAAAGAGAAGGGAGCCTACTGCTCAGTCATTGACTGCATCCTTGAAGTACGTTTGTCAGGAGCAGGCTCTGAGATGTTGTCTGAGAATGGGAATGTACATTTTATCATCTCACTGGAATGTGAACAGGCAATAGGCTGTCAGTAACACGAGAGTTAGCAGTAGTGCCAGCTACTGCGGCTTGTGTATTTACTGCCTATTTTGGAAACACTGAGGGTGTAACCACCTGGTAAAGACCAGCTCGGCTTAACCTGAAAAACATCAAATAAGCCCAACCATCAGCATCAGTTGTGATGGAAAAGATGACTTTGTGCAGTTCTGATAATTGTGTGACCACCGTAGGCCTGATGAATGGCAAATCCTATTCACATTGGATCAGGCCATTAGCCAATCTAGTCTATATCATGCCACCTGATATCCTCCATAAGGTCTATTCACACTGGTGGTGGGAAACTCCTTCCTGACTCCTGCATCTGTCCAATGTATGCCCTAAACCGGGAGGCTTGATCACCCTTATCTTAGTTTGTTGCTGTAGATGTTCGTTTGATCTGTGAAGACACTTAAGCCGCACAGGTATAAGACTTACATTGCAGTGCAGATCTGCTTTAATTTTTTTATCAGTCCAGTATCCGTTTAGGACAGGTGGCTGTCTCAGAGGCAGGTGTTGTGGAAGCCCAAACCCAAAAGGACGACTTCTATCAGCTCAGATGAGTTTACACGCAAGCATCTCACTTATGAGTAATGCAATTGGTTCAAAGTGTCACAGCTAATGGACTGTCATTCTTGTGTGTCTTATATAAACACCTCTCCATACCACTGATCGCAGAGAGAGCTAGTATTGTTCTTAATCTAGTAAAGCCCTCTTTGCTAGTGCGTTTCTGAAAATGCCAAACTAAACCTAGCTGGGCAGCCGCCAGGAAACAGATTTGTGGCAGGAAAAGGGGACTCTCAGGGTGGAAAGCTGGAAAGAGGTTAGCATTGTTGCCAATGCCCATGTGAAGCTGGAATCTCCTGTACCAAGCCTGCTCCCCAGCGCTTAAACACACCAGTCAGCCAGGGTGACTATTGAAAGGTTTGGGAGATGAATCACTCGCTACACAGTTTGCTGATCATTTTAATTTTTTTTTGGTAAATATTTTAGTCATCATAGACTTCCTGTCCACCCCACCCTTCCCCTTCCCATGTTCCCGCTTCCCCTCTCTCCCTGTAGCATCTGTAATAATTCCAAGCCGCCCCCCGGTCAGGGCAGTCATTTGTACAGTTCACATTCACGTGGGCTAGAAATATCTTTCCACTGCACTGTGCTTAGGAAACCTATTCATTCCTTTATTTGTCTAAGTTAATATGTTACATCACGTGACATAAACATGCATGTATTTATTTTAGGCTCTGGCTCTCTAGATAAACAAGTTTGCACATATTTAGCTGGTGCTCCAGACATCAGTACATTGACATAATTGGAGGAAAACTAGCTATTGTCCATGGGCAGTAGCTGATTTTTTTTTAATTGTCATTTTAATATAAAAACATTTTTAACCTACGAATGGGCATTTGGAATTCCAGCCTCTTACGATTTTTCCAGGAGCCAACATCCTTTTAAAAATAGGGTTTATAACAAAAGTACCTCAGGAGCCAGTAACAATAGTGTTGCTACTGCAGTACTATGACTTAGTGCTGATGAAATACGCCAGCCACAATGCAAGCTTCCCTGCCAAAGTGCTTTAGATGTGATCTACCTTTGGGCGCGCGTTTTGGTTCCAAGGGCCCATTTGATCATTAGTGTCTACTGATGCTGTCAACAAAGGAGGCTGCCTTTTTGAACGTATGCACAGTCCTCTAGGGAACTAGCTTGGACTGAAACAAATTCACTCCACGTAGGCCACCAAAATCCCACTTAAATGGCAATAATTTCAGTCACTGCCAACCTGGTCTGATGTGAACAGATTACTTAGGGCTAAAACATTCTTCATCCCAATCCTACGTTAGCAGTCACTTGAGCCTTTTCACAAAGGCTGCAGCCAGTTCCCCATCCCCTTCTCCCCATGGGAGACTGTTGCCATTCACTGACAATGAAATCAGCCTCTGCTCCCATTCTCTCTCTGAGGGATATAGCTAGTACCATTCACCATCTGTGGCTCCTTCATTTTTCTGTGGGCTTCAAGTCTCCTTGCCCTCTAAGCATGTGCTCCTTGTGTTTGCATGGGTTTATCTCAGCCCGAAGCCATGTATTCAAAGGCCTTGGGTATACCAAGGCAGGCCAGTCACTGGGTTTTTTAGACATTGATAGATCAGGTGAATGAAGTCATCTCTGGCAGACTCTGCGCTGCGTCAGCTTTGCTTTTGAAGATTTTCCTGCCTCCAAGCCCCCGTACGTGTTGGTTTTTGACTGACATTGCATGCTGCCTCTTGTTCAGAGATCTGTCCCTCCCTGTTTCTGTATCAGGTGCTTTGTTCTAAGGGGGTGAGATTTTGCTCTGGGCTTCATTTAGTGTTCTCAAGATGTGGCCTCTAACCTAAGCAGGTTGAGCAGCCTTTGCTGGCTCCACCTCAAAGCCTAAAATAGTGGAGCCTGAAGCTATGGCTTTTGTCCTGTTGCTGCCAGTCCCCGTGTCTATTTTATATGCATCACCAATATTGTGGGTTTAAAAACCCACCTCACCAAGGCCTTAGGCTCCTACCCACCATTGATCGTGCAGTCAAATCCCAGCAGCATTGGAGTAATCATTTCAACAGTAATTCAGCCAGACACCTATAGAAACTTCTTCCCACCCCGTCATCGTTATGGGAAGCAAGCACTCAGATCTCTGCAGAAAAACCCATCAAATAGATGTCTCTTGCAGAGTGCCCAGAAGGTCACCAAAGGGGATGGGGTGTTCCAGTTGAACAATAGATTTGTGAGCCGAGGGAGGCAGAGTCATCGCTCTTTCAGGAGAGAATTGCATTTCCCCGGGGGGGCTTACAAGACTCTTGTGTAAAAACAATTCACTGTTAATAATCAAAAATTGCTAATGGGCAATGAGATCCCAGCAAGGTCCCTCTTTTCCCTTTTAGTGGGATCAGCATTGTTCTTCCCAGCATTTTCTTACTTGCAATCTTCCACTGCCTTGGCCTTGCTAATTATGGCTGTTCCTCTTTAAATAGGGTTTTTTTCCCTAAAGAGTCATTGGACTTCCTCCCTGTTCTTCTAAATAAGAACCACAGAGGCTGATAGCTTCTAATTTTTATTCATTTGTTAAACCTTTTAATGCTTTTGTGTTCTCCAGTCAACAAACTATTGAAAGCTGATTTGCTTCTAAAGCACTTGGGGTTTCACTAGGAAATTTTTCACCTTCCTCTGGTAATACAAATCTTACTTTCCCTTGGCCCACTGGTTTAGACCAGCACTGAAAGAAAATTAGACTTGTTTACCAGGCCTCTTCTACAATAGCTAAAACACCAATAACCTTGCCCTTCTATAGCATATCTTCCAGCCCAGCATTCTACTAGTACAAGCAGTTTAGTTTTGCCTCAAAATGCCTTGCTTGCCATATCTATGAAGCATCATTACATTATGCAGTGGCAGCCTTTCTCCCAGATTTATGCAGACTGACTCATTAAGAGACACTACAATGTTGCGGGGGGAGGGGGTTGTCTGCAGTAGGACAATCTTAAGCACAGGGACCCTAGATACTCTATCTAATGTGGGCAAATAATTTGTTGCAAGTGGTTTCTTCCCTTTTTTAAAACTGGTTTTTAATCACTGTTTTAGTTTGTGCTTTCCGCATGGCTTTTATATTGTGTTTAGTCACTTTCTAATTTTAAAATCTTTTCTCTTGCATCCCTCCTCTTGGCCTGCTGTTTCCCAGCTGGGCCTTTGATTAGACATGGAGAGAGAAGATTTTGATG